GGGAATGCAAGGGGGGGTTGCGAGTCGTGTTCATGGGAACGTTCAGAGTAAGGTGTTTTTTTGGGGGGGCGGGGAGACCTCCGGGGATTGTGCATGTGTAGTGCGGTGGGAGTGCGTCTCTGTAATGCACGGAGCGAAGATTGAGCTGGTATGTTGTTAAGTGTGTCTCCTGCACCTTTCCCTCTCCCTTTTCCCCACCCCCCTTCCCCTTCCTCTCCTCACGAGCTTCACCCGCTCGTGGTGCGTCTTTCCCGTCTTTTCCCCTTCGTTAACTTTTATTTATATTCTCCCTGCGGGGCCGTTCCATCGCGGTGATGTCGTTGTGGAAGTAGCGTCTGCCCTCTATTACATCGAAGTGTGTGTGAGCCTTGGATGCCACGAAACACACACCCGCACACCCTTCTACCCACACTACCAGCTAACCCCCTGCATACAGCTCCTCCCCGACACCTTCCCCCCTCTTTCCCCGCACCACCCCTCCTCCGCCACCAACCCTCGTTTCGAACGTCGCCTGGTGCTGGGCTGCTTTGGCGTCGTCGTACTCGGCGTTGATCCCCTCGTCGCTTCGCTGTACGGCAGGTCAGCACCTGCACACGCTGTCGTACCACTCGGATTACGTTACCTGCCTGGCAGCGGCGCCTGCTCGCAGTCTGGTGGTATCTGCGGGGCTGCGGGCTGAGATATTTTTGCTCAATATAGAGGTAATGCAGGGCCGTGGGGGATGTGGGGCCGGGGGGTTGCGGGTGTGTTTCGATGAACTGAGCCGCCGGCTTGTGTGTGGGGGGGGGAGGGGGAGGCGGGTAATAAATGCTAAAGCCAAACAAATTGCAAAAACGGTTGGCCTTGGGGGGGAGTGACGGGGTCCGGAAGGGGTTACCTAGAGTGCCTGGAGAGGATGTGCGGGAATGCTTCGGGGTCGGGTGTGTGTGTGGGGGGGGCGGAGATTGGGCGCGATGGCGGACCTCGCTACGCCCCAAATGCGAGGTCACAACGTTTGTACACACAGATGGGCGTTGGAGGGGAGAAGGGGGAGGGCGGAAAAGGGGAGTCCTTTTCTGGGTTTGTGTATATATGTACATACACATACGTGTATTTATGTAGATATACACATTATTAATATATATGGGGGGTAGTAATTGCAGGAATGAGTAGTAGTGTGGTTCTTTCCCCCCGTAAAACCCTTGATCTGAATCCGAGGTAGGTGCCCCGGGCTAGTTTCTGAAGTACGTGTGCCGTACATGCCGAGGAGGGGGACGGGGACCGGCGGCTGTCCCTGTCCGCGGCCATTACACCCACACACAGCAGGAGAGAAACAAACAGCCAAACAGCCTCATACTGGCTGCTCGCCCCCACCGCCGCCCACTGCCGCCGCCGGGGTAAAAGCCCTAAAAAGACCCATGGCCGCAACAGCCGCAACAACTCGAGGCTGTTGGAGAATGACCGAGAGACATTCATTCATATAAACATTCATTCACAAGCACAGCAACGGAGTGCGAGAGAGCAGCAGTAATAGGACCCGAAAAGGGGTCCGCGGGTAGCTTGCTATCGTCAACAAAGGCGCGAGAGGACCCATGGCCCGCGCCCCGCGCACAACGGACTAAACACTAAGCGCTAAGAGAACACACGCTTTCCCTTCCGCCCCGCCTGTGTCACCCGCGTTCGGTTGGCGCCTTTACCTCCGATATGGAAAGGCGTCACCGCTGCTCCCTTCCCCCGCTGCTCCAGCTCCACCTTCGCCCTCCTCACCCCCCCCCTCCATCACAACACCTTCCCCTCCACCTCGCTCCTGGTTAGCCTAATCCTCCTTACCCCTCCCCTTTTACCTCCGCCCGCTTTCCTCAACCCCCTTTCTCACCACTCCCTCCCCTTTTTCCCCCAACAAAACACAACCTCCAAAAACCCGCACACAAACGTTTTGTACAGACCGGCAAGCACACACAGCTCTACCCCCGCACGCCCCTGCCCGGCGCGGCTTCCGGCTCGCCTAGCGCCGCCGCCGCCACCGGAGTACACGCCCACGTGTCGGTCTCCAGTGTCGGCGTCGTCGGAGGCGACGACGGGCCTCTGTACGGCGGTGCCGCCGCCGCCGCCACCTCCGGTGGCCTTCCACCCCCCGTCTCCGCTTCACACCAGCACGTCGCCAAAGACGCGCCGGGCTCTGTGTATGCGTTGGATCTGAACCCCACTGGCACGGTGGTGGCGGCGGGTACGAGCGAGGCGCTTGTACGGCTCTTAGATCCCCGAATTGGCAAGAAGATTACGAAATTGCGAGGGCACCAGGCGAGTGTGTGTTTGTGGGGTGTGTGTGTGTGCGGGAGAAAAGGGAGGTCGGGAAGTAAGGAGGGTGGGTATTGGGGGGTTGTTTCGGAGGTCGGGATTTTGCGAATGCGCGTGTGTGTCTTGCCCTTGCGGGAAAAGCTCTGGAACAGAGTCGTTAATTCATTTCATCCATGGACGCATTTATCCCGTCAGGGGGGTGGCAAATACGTATGTATGTATGTACATATGTATGTATGTACATGACGTGTGTATGTGTGCAGGGGAGTGTAAGGGTGAGTGGGTGGGCGGGGCGGACCCCGAGCCGACGTCCCAAGCGAAGGCGGGGACGGGTGACTCTCAACTCCTTCCGCCACCACCACCACCACCACCACCACCACCCGGGTATCCGGTCAGTGGTCAGAGGTCAGTGGCCACCCAGACTCGTATACAGGAGGGCCTGTGGCCATCCTCCCCGCCTCCTTCTCCCCAGCTTCCTAACCAACCAACCAACCAACCACATCCTAACCACTTCGCCCCGAAACCAACTGCCCAACCAACCAACTAACAAGCAGGACACGGTTCGTGCGTTGTTGCTCAACGGTGATGGTACGATGTTGCTGAGTGGGGCCTCAGATGGCACCATCAAGTTGTGGGATATCGGCATGCAGCGATGTGTGCAGGTAATGGGAGGGGGGGAAAAGAGAGGGGGGAGGGGGGAGACGGGGGTTTGGTTAGGTTCGGGTTGGTTATTCACGCCCATGTGAGACGTGCCTTTTTGGGGCGTATGCATGTATGTATGCTAAATTATTTAAGCTCAAAACATATAGCTTTATTTGGAAAACCAAAGATCCCCACTATTATTACTTAACCCCCCACTTTTATTTAGTAAACTTTTTCCTGAAAGCCAATCGAATGAAAAACGTCCTGGTAACAGGATAAATCAGGGGAAGTTCAGCGACGGAATGATTATTCGGAAAAAAAGCGATAGTTTAGGTATAGTTTTGAACTAGGGGGGCCGGCTTAAAAGCCATGAAGGAAAGTTGTATTAAACGGATTCAAAAATATGATGTTACGAATGCGTATTAGTTTTGGTTTATTTATGAGTGCGAGCCTACATCAACGTAGTAACGTAGTGACAGTTAATTATGTATAGGTTACCAATCAAATGCATGTATGTATGTATGTATGTATGTATGTATGTATGCGCACTTCCTCATGTGTGTCCCCACTCCTCGCTATCCTGTTGTACGACACGGCCTCCTCAGACATACACACTGCACACGGACGCCGTGTGGTCGCTGCTCTCCCCGGACGACAGATTCGCCGTCGTGTACAGCGGGGGGAGGGACAGGGCGATCTATCGTACATACACACACACGTAAGCACCTCATAAGTACAACCCCCCCTTGTCCCCCTCCCGCCACTCAGGCAGGCATGCAGGTCACTTCCCACATGGCATACAGCAGTACTCCAATAACGCTGTCGTACAAACAGTATGCACACATACGAATATTCCATACAGGAATACACTTGTGAAATACAAATATGTGTGTGAAATTTATTTCTTATTGCCTTTCTCCGGACTAGACCGCCCGGTAGGACAGAAGACCGGGCCGGGGGGTGGGGCCATCCGGGGTCCCAGTTGTGATGCCCCGGGTTTGGGGGGGGAAGAAAGCGGGGCGAAGGGGGGAATGGAAAGGGGGGCATCCTGGGGGAAAGGGGTAATCCTGTGTATGATGGTGTGAAACGAGAAACAAGTGTCTATTCATCCACTCATTGCCCAAAAGGGGGTTTATGAGGGAGGCAAGGGGGAAGAGGAGGAGAGGGGCGATGGAGGGGTTTCTAGAGGTAAGGTACGACTCAAGGACACATCATTCTGAGTGGCCATGGCATTAGAGATGATTATCTCCTTTTTATTGTACTGCAGTCGTACAAGCGAGCTTCTTGCCGTGGAGGACTTTCCCGTACAGGCGTTGGCGCTGGACCCTGACGTGGGGCCTGATGCGGCAGGTGCGGTACAGTACGACATGGGTGAGGGGGGGGAGAGGGAATGCAGGGTGGTGGAGGCAGTGAGGGCGGTGGTGGTGGTGGTAAGAGGTGTTTCTGCGGATGTGGGGCAGTGGAGAGAGAGGTGTAGCGGTCACCGTCTGGTCGGCGGATGCTGCTGTTCGCCGGCCTCTCTCTCACTCCCGTCCCCCGCCATCGCGTCCTAACACGTCGTGTCTCCTTACGCCCTGGCCCCCCCCTTCTCCCCCCTCCTCCGCAGCCCACTACTCCTCCCCATTCTCCTCCTCCTCCCGCTTTCTGTTTTCCTCCTCCCCATCCCCGCCAGTGGTTCGTCTTAACACCCCCCCCTATCCCCCCATCCCCGCGGCACCCTGCATCCTCCGTTCACCTCCTCGGCCCCCTCCTCGCCCAAGTATGTGCCTGGTGTGTTCCCCCGCTCGGATGCCCCTGCAGAGCGCCACGATGTGGGCCCTACGGGGGGTGTGGGACTGTGGGCCGCCACCTCCGCCTCCCACATCAACATGTGGGTGGTGCCCCGGGGGCCGGCCCACGGGTCGGTCGGGGGAGCGGACAGCGGGAGAGCCTTCTCAGGTGGGCTGGGGGTTGGCCAGGGGGGTGGGGGTGGGAGGGGGGGTGCCAGGGTTTGCTGGGGAGGTGTTGAAGATGGGTTGTTGAGGGGCTGGGCTGTGGGTTAGGGCGGAGGGGGGGGCAGGGGTTGGGGGGGTTGTTCTGTGTACAGTTGATATGTCGGTGAGTGGGGAGGGGGTTGTTTTGCAACCGCTGCAACAGAAGCTGCGGCCTGTTGCTTCTGATGATGATGCCCCCACTCACCTCCGTAAGAATGTGTATGAATTGTGTGTGTATGTATGTATGTATGTATGTGCGTGCTTTTGTCCTAGCCCACTCCCCCAGCCGTCGTATACACAAACTTTGGAGTTGAGCTGTTTGCGGCTTTGGATCTATGTTTTCCTCTTTATTTGTGTCTTTCCTTTTTTGCATTTAGCGAAAGGAAGTGGTCCCCACCCTCCTCCCACTTCCCGCCCCGCAGTGGCTCGACGCAGCATGGGCGTCCACGCCAACATGCGCAACCGAATGTCGTTGGAGCAAAACCGACAACCGCTCGCCCGAATCCCGGAGGCGACGATCCCGGGCATCCCCGGTGAGTACCCAGCGAGCTGGCTGGTGAGGGCCTTATGGAGCGGTGGGGCTTTACGTGTGTGTATGCGTGCGTATGTATGTGCATGCGGACGAGGTGGGGGTTGTCTTGTGCGTGTGTGTGTGTGTGTGTGTGTGCGCGTGTGTATCTCGGAGCTGACCGTCCTGCACACGCGCCCTAAGAAACTCCGCCCCTCAACCCCCGCGGCTCATACTCGTTACCATTCATTCCACGCCATCACGTGGGGCCACCCGCGTCCGTACACCCACACAGCACGACAGCATGTTGCGTGCCTCCCTCGGTCGTACGGACGAAGATGAGCGTTTCTGGTTACTGCGGGGGTTCGTACTGGTACACGGATACTGCAACAGGTGTTGAGAGAATTTTCGCTCGATTTGCTACACCCTTGCCTTGCGCTTCCGTGTCGCATATTTTGGTACGTATGCATACATTGCGATTGTTTACATTGCTGTACTTTTGTGCCGTACGCACATGTGTTGCAGTTGCCGTACACACGCGCCCATGCAGAGTTAGCACCGTTTTACTCGTCTTGTGCCGCTCACGCGCCCTTTCCCCGCTCAACCCCCACCATCTGCATGTGATTGATTCCATGCAGCCACCAATGCTCTGTCTTCCCCTAAATTTACCCGCCCCTCTCCCCCCTTCCCCCCCAACCCCCGCCCCCACACGCACATACACATGCACGCACACACCCTCAGCCCTGGTGGCGCACGAGGTGCTGTCGGACAAACGGCGGGTTTTGACACGCGACATGGGGGGCCACGTAGGGCTGTGGGACGTGCTCCAGGGGACCCAGGTGGCATCGTACGGCAAGGTGGATTTTGGCGCCAAAAGTCAGGAGCTTTGGGAGCCGCGATCCGTGCCTTCGTGGTTTACCGCCGACACTCGTCTCGGCTGTTTGTGTATTTCTCTGGAACCCCCCTCGGCCTTCATGGCGGAGGAGTACGGCGTGGCGCTGGAGCTGGGCTACGTGGCAGACGACTTCAAGGTATGTGCGTATGTATTTGTGTAAGGGGAAGTGTGTTTTTAAAGGGGGAAAAAAGCGGGGAGGGGGTGGCGGGCCGGGGTTCCGGGGCGGGTGCGCGGCGTTGGGCAGGAGGGTAAGGAAGGGGGACGTAGCAGACACGTACGAACGAAACCCAACCGTGGCACGTGGTCGGCAGTCCAGTGGGCAGCTCAGCGGGAACGGGCGGAACATTGGTATCGTTGTATACGGTGTACGGATGCTACAGGGCAGCCGAGCGGTGGTTTAAAACCCCCGGGGATCCCGCCCACGCACATACATACACACTTACAGCTGTCAGAGTTTAACCTCGGGCTTTATGGTCCCCTCATCCTCTGACACCACCATCACCACCACCACCACCACCATTTTGCCCGAAATGAACACCAACACACCCACCCACCACCTCCATCTCCACCTCCACCAGTCGGCAGTCACTTCTTCGTTCCGTTGCCACAGGATCCCTTCGTTTCCCCCCTCCCCCTCCCCCTCCCCCTCCCCTACTTTCCTTGGCAGCAGCTTCACTCGCTCGTGATTCGTCTTTCCCCCCTCCCCCCTCCCCCAGTCGCCACCACCAGCACTGTCCATGGTCCCACACCCTAGGGTGGCGCACCACCCACTAACACCTCACCTCAGCAACGACAGCAACAACCCTAAACCACCTTACAACCACCTCACAACTAGGATTTTCTCCCCTCCTCTTTCTCCCACCACCATCACCCTTGCTGTACGACAGGTCAATTACGGCAAGCTCGTCTTGGACTGCGTCTTTGCCAAATGGCGCTACAAGCTGCAAGCAGCTCAACACCAGATCCCCAACCCCGCCGCCAACCCCACCTCCCCCAACGCGCCCATCACCCCCACCTCTCCCGCCTCTAGCCCGGGGGCCGCAGCAGCAGCAGTAGCATTGGCGGCACCATCGGGAGGGGCAGCAGCATTAGGTGGGGGGCTTCTTCCCGGACCACCCCACCATCACCACCAGCTTCACCACCACCACCACCACCATCACCCGCAGCTACAGCCCCAGGTGGCAGCAGCTGGAGGGGGAGGGGGAGGGGGGGTGGCGCAAGAGGGTGTTGGTGGTCAGCCGTACTACTTGGACTCGTGTCCAAGTTACTGGGGATGCAGGGCGCTGCCGGCGGGTGAGTGCGGGTTTTAGAGAATGGGGTGGGTCGGGATTGCGTGGCGAGCAGGCGTGAGGTTCCCCCTCTAACCCCTGCACTGCACTGCACTGCCCGTTCCCCAGTGGGGGGTGCGGGCGCACACACACACACACACACACACACACTCTCGCAAGTATGGAAGGGAAGGAGGGAGATGGTTATGTGGGGAAGGGGGAAGGATAGGTCCATAGGAATTGTTTGGGGGCTGCTGTCGCGCGACTCAGCATTATGCATGATATGAATTGCAGTTGTCCGACTACCACACGCAACGCACACCTCCCGAGGGCGGCCACCACTCCACCTCACCGGTCCACACACACAACCGAGGCAAGAACCCGGTCCGCACGGCTGTCACCTCCCGGGGGCTACGTGCTCCCGGACACTATCCAACGGGAAACAAAGCAAAAACACCTATTGCCGCTAGGGCGATAAAGCCCGAAAAAGGAACGGTTCACGGACCTTGCCCGTCGCTCGTAAGCTTACTAACCTGAGAACCCTAACCCCTTCTGTCACCTCGCCGACCGGCAACAACTGCACCATACCCAGGTTGAACTTTTGACCCCTCTTGCCTTGGAACACGTGTCCATGTGACGAAGCAAGCGCTTCACCTCGTGTGGGCCGTCCAATTCCATCCAATCCAGACCCGGTCGTATCATCTGCTGCTTATTGCACACCGCAGTCCGAAGCCGAACCGTATGTTGATGTAAACGCACTCCCACACCTCCATAATGCTGCATAATGCCAGCACAGGGAGGCGTGTGCAGAGATTGCTAGCAGATACAACCAAGGTGACAGCAAGGGGGACATCATCGCCATCTGTATCATCAGCTGCCGCAGGGCCTGGCACGCACTTCAACAGCACTGTAGTTTCTTCCACCGTACGTGCAACTCCTTGTGGACCACGGCTACATCCCTCCACCCCTTCCACCCTTCCTTCCCATCCAGGCTCCAAATCTCAAACACCATGATGTGTGTGTGTGTGTGTGTTTTGCTCCACAAACCGCCCATTGTTTCTTACCCGCCCACCTTCCCGCCCCGATATCACACCCTTCCCCCCCTTTTTGTCGCTTTACCCTTTCGCCCTTTTCGCTCATGTGTGCTATCCGCCGCCGTGTTGGCGTGATGGTCAAACCAGTGATATGTTCCCGCCAAGACGGTCAACGCTGGCGGCGGCTGATTTCAGCATTTGACGGCTCCGAAGCTGAGCCTGCCGAAATTCCCACATGGGTGGCGGATGTCGTACTGCGTAACGCCAACGTAACGCCCAAGGAGGCAAAATGTGCGTTTGTACTGCTGCCGGCGGAGGTGAGCGCTTGGGTCGGTACGGAGAGGGTGCCGTAAATCTCCCTAGCCCGTACCCTCCTATCGCCGAGTTCCATTTGCGGCTCAGGTCTCATTAAACACGCAACACCATTACGATGTCACCCTGCCCAACACACCATTCACCACAGACATGTTAGCTGTAGATGTTAAGTAGTACGGCACGGTTGTGAGAGTGATTTGCGGTTGGGGGGACGCATTATTAGGTCGTTCACGAAGGAACACCCCTTCGCTTTCTGACCCCCAAATCACCCGGCATTTAATCCGCCACCAACACCACCACCACCCACGCGACCAAAACACACACACACACTTGGGCGTACTGATGTAAATCAGATGCCAGGTTCCTCTCCTCCTCCTCCTCCCCCACCCCGGGAGCCACCGCCAGTTGGCGCCTCGGGGACGTGTGTGTGGCTACAGCCGCTTGGGACGGGCGGGCAGGCGGCTGACACGGGCATCTCATCCTCCCCAGCAACACATACATACATGCACACACACGCACGCACATTCGCATACGTACATACTCGCATACAAACCCCCTCCCCCTCCCAACCGCTCTGCAGGGCTCCGACCTGCCTCCCCTGCAGCAAAGTAAGCTGAACGCCCCCCGCATCCTGCAAGTCTATAAGGTCGCGAACTACTGCAGCGGCAAACTGCAGGTACGGGGTGGGGGCGGGGGTGAGGTGCTGTGTTGTGTGGGGGCCCCACCGGCGGGTGAATTGGGACATGAGTGTGTGTACGTGTGTGTGTGCGTGTGTGCGTGTGTGTGTGTGTGCGCGCGCGCGTGCGCAATTTCCATCTTACCCCCCCGACGGCACCTCTCACACACACACACGCTTCCCCCCCTTCCCCTCTCCCCCTCTGCATTGGACCGCCCCACTCCGTTTTGAAGGACATGGATTTGCCCCTGGTGGTGCGGCCCTTCTACCTCACGGGCGGCCCCCACCCCCCCGACCCCCACCACCTCCCCTTGGAGTCGCCACCACCCAAGAGCACCTCCACGGGAAAGGAGGGGGAGCCGCACGTGCTGGAACTTACGTGTAACGGAATGGTGGGTCTCGGGGGGGGTTTGGGGTTTCGGGGGCCGGGGGGAAGAGGGAATCTAGGGTTTCCTGCGTAGGCTGCGCGTGGCAGGAACATTGGGGGGCTTTAGGGGCCCCCGCGGGGCCGTGGGGGTGAACTAAGGAGCGGGTTATGGATAGATAGCCGTGTTGTTATCCTCTTTTCACCTCCCAACCTGGCCATTCGTGCAGGCGGTTCCGTACGAGATGAGTTTGGCCTCTGTCAAGAAGTTCATTTGGAAGAAGTCGGACGACCTGTTGTTCCACTACAGGTAAGCGGAACACGAGTACGGAGGACCTGGAGGATGTGTGCCGTAAAAATTGAAGTCGGACTCTCTGTATTGTTTGTGTGTAATTTTAGCAAGACTAAAATTAATTTTTTGCCTCGGCGCTTTTCCATCTTGCCGTCATGCGCCGTTACCCTGGGGCTTTGTTACCCTTGCTCACACTGGCACTCAACCCCCTCATCGACCCTCCCCCACCACTCCCCATCCCCCACATTTTACCTTCGCTTCTTGCATCCTATGATTCCCCGCCCCCCGCCCCCCCCCCCGGCAACCCGCAACCCGCTCCCAATCCCCCCCCTAGGGTCCTCGACCCCGCGAACCCCGCACCACTTCCCGTACTCCCAGGACCTCAGCGCTGATCCAACCACCAACCGACACCAACCACCCAGTAACGGACCCTTTCCGTTAAAGTGTCTGTGTTGTTGTTGGTGGTGGTGGTGGTGATGGTGGTGGACTGGTGGTGACTAGCTGGCTGGGATATCCTGAGCGAGCTGGCGGCTGTCTGTTACCTTTGTGTGTATATGTGTGTGTACCCAGGTCTCTCTTCATGGAGAGGTGTCGGCTGTCCTTGTGCGTGAGGGGTGGGGGGGTTGGGAAGAGGGGAGGAGTTGTCATTGTGCAGGCGCTGCTGCTTGTGTGCGTTGCTGGAGCGGACGAGTGGCTCTGCTGATCCTGGGGTGTTGTGTGGTGGGGGTTAGGTTCGTGTAGCAGGTGGTGGTGGTGGCGGGGGCACCGAGCCAGAGGACGGTGGGCAGGAGTCCGCAAAGTTGGTTGAACTGGAGCTGTAGTCCCAAACACCGGGGGGACGGGGGAAATGTGTGTCGTCAGTCGCGCAGGCTTGTCTTGGACAGGAGCAGGAAGAAGTAGTCTTAATTCCGCTTCGTCAACTCTCCCGCTTTTCCCGGTCCTCCCCCACCCCACTCACCCACCTGCACACCCTTGAGGTTCTGCTCGCCGCTTTAGTGTCCTCCCACTTTCCTACTCACCCACGTAAAAAAAGCGAACGTGAACGTAAGGGGGAACGTAAGGGGGCAAAAGAGGTCCGAGCCGGTCTGAGGCGGGGACACCGGCCGCCGCCGCCCTAGACCGAAAGTGAAGGAGTGAGAGCGGCGGTGGCGACAGCCTGTGTGTGTGGTGGCCGCAATAGCAGTAGAAATTGTAGCAGTAGCAGCAGTAGCTATTAGGTGTGGCAGTAGTGGCCTCTGGTGGGGTTTGATGGTGTGGCAAGTCGCAATTGGCGGCTTTGCATCCGTGCTTGGTGGCAATGGTATTGGTGACCCCAGGTTTAAGGGTGGTGGTGACGATGGTGGTGGTGAGCACTGACCGATCTCCACTTTGTCAGCCCTCTATTCTGGTGGGCTCTACCTATCCGTCTGTCTGACCGTTTATCTGTTGCGCAGGCAGGTCTGCAGCCCTGTACACGGCGGGGTGCCAGGTACAGTTGAGGAGTGTGCGTGTGTACGTGTATACACTTGCACTGGCGTACTGGTGTACGTGTCCGTCGCGGGACGGGTGGAAGGGGGGTTGGAAGGGAGGGATCATCCCCTAGCACCTCGTCAGCACTTGAGCCAGTGCTGGAGGGCCGGGGCCAGAAGGGAGGGGCATGCGGACTTGCCGGCACCATACACGCACACAAACACCAGCAGCATGTGGGAAGAGATTTAAACGTTAGTCACCACCACCACCGTCACAAGCCTGATGCTTCCCAAACCAGCCTTTTGAGGAAAATATGGTTTTGGGATATGCCTGCCCTCCAAACTTCCCTTTTTTCAGATCAAGCCCGAACCCATCCCGTAACGTGCCAGCTAATCCCCCTACCTCTCAACACCAACCCGCAAAAGAAAACAGTCTAGGCAATAGAGCAGGAGTGCTAGCTACTCTTTACCACTATGACCACCAGTGTATCTCCGAGCAATGCCCTGGCATCAGCAAACCTGCGGATGTCTTGTCTTACTCTTTGTATTCCTTTTCCTCCCTCCGTTTCTCAAACAGCCGCGCCTCTCCCTCGCCTCTCGGTCACTAAGAACGGACGAGAATAAAACATCATTATCACACACACAAATCTGGCTTCCATGGCACCCCGTTTGGTTCCTCGGTCAGCCGGATTCGCGTCACATTCTTTCGCACCACGCACACCTCCCGCACTCCCCCCTCTCCTTCTTCCTCCTCGCCCTTCCGCCTCCAAGAAACCCCCCTCCCATCCCCTCCAACACGCGCCCCTCCAATCCCACGCGGCGCTACGTTGTCGGGCGGTCTCACCTGCCCGCCACCACTCTGAAACCCCCTAGGGGCTCTGACCCCGCCTTAGGTCCGTGAAGCGAAGGTCGCTCTAGCAACCTTCTGAAAGGTAAGAAGCCCCAAAACTGAGAGAGACCCCACCAGTGTGTATACACACGTACATACATACACACGTACATACATACATACATACACATACATATATACCATGCAGACATACATGGATAAATATTACACGCATATGTACATGTACATTTATGTGTAATCTACATGCACACAGGTATTCACGCAACGTAAAAGGTCGCCGTAAAGCAGCTGGGAAATTCTATGTCGTACACCACGCTCTGTTGAAGAAGCACCTGCCCTCCGTTTCCCTGCTCAGCCCACATGCAGCCCGGTTCGGTACACGAACAGCAGCGGGTAGGTGAACAAACACATCACGAAACACCACCACCAAGACAGGAAGCTGGACGCAAACGACACGAAGTCCAGCGGCAGAAGCGGCACTGGCACTCCCTGCCCAACGTCGCCACCACTACCACTACCCCTACCACTACCACCATCATGAACACTCCCAATCGACCAGGCTGTAGCAGCAGCAGCAGCAGCGGCAGCTTCCTCTGATGACGTCATGCCGTCGAGGCCGTCAAGAAAGACGTCGTCGCTTGCCGCCACTGCCGTCAGCCCCGGCTGCGCAGTCGCCGCAGCCGCCAGGCCGTCGCGCAACCCGAGTTCAATCCCCATCCCCGACTGACTTCCTGGCGGGGGCCCAACTGCCGGCTGCTGCTGCTGCTGCGGCGGTGAGGTTGCCGCTGTCGCCTTGCCGACGAGTAGTAGCGGCTGCGCGGGCCGGAAGGAGTCCATCACCCCGGAGGCCCCGCCGTACATGAGGGCAAGGCACGCGAGGATGGCGGCGGGGGCCAGCAGCTGCAAGGCGACCTGCCGCCACACATACATACATACATACACATGCATACAGGGGAAGCGAAGGACGTGGATGGAGCGATAGGAAGAAGCGCACCAAGTGAGGACATGACGAGCTGCCCGCACCCGCACCCGCACCAGCAGCAACCCCAGGTCTGTGAGTCTCAGTGTGTGGGGCCTTACGGGCAGTGAATGTACGGTGAATACACCGAATGCGGGTGCCTAAAGGCGGAGCTGTTGCACTCACCCCGTCACGCAAACCCGGGCCACACTTCGCTCCGCTGGGCTCCCCCTCCCCCTCCCCTTCCCCTTCCCCTTCCCCTTCCCCTTCCCCTCCCCCAACATCTTCTGCCGCCACCCCTCTTTTTTCCGGGTCCTCCTTCCCGGGCAATACGGCAGTACGCGCACACGGCAATCCGTACCTGACAAACTGTCGCATATACGAGGTGAAGCCGCTTCCGGATCAACACCTCCCGAGCGCCCTGCAATGCCGTATTCCCGCCAGCACCACCACCGCCGCCCCCGGGTAGCGCCTCGTGCCGTAACACATGCCATTCCAGCAACCCGCCACCCAGGTGCGCCGCCGCCAGCGGCCGTATGGCAAACAGTTGCGCCGCCGCCGCCGCCACCACCAGCGCCGGGCCCAGCGCTGCGGCCGCCGTCAACGGAGCCAAAAAGTCCGACATCGGCACGATGCCGTACAGCACGACGAGCAGCGGCAGGACGAGCGAGAGATGTACGGCGGCTTTTGCGGCCGGATGCGGTGTGAGGTACTTCGCCGCCCAGAAGGGAACGGGACTGGTGTAGCTGTACAGCTTGGCTATTCGGGCGGCCGGACCCATTAGTGCTGCACCTGCAGGTGACACGGCGTAGGTGTATACATGTGTATGTATGTACGTATGTATGGGAGGGGAAAAAGGAAAACAGGAGGGCGGGGGAAGAGCCAACTAGCCATTGGGGTGTGTGGGCTTTGGAAGGGTGAGGGAGAGGGAGGTAGCGGGGTAAGGCGGAGGGCGGGGAAGACACACATAACAAGGCACCACCAAAAGCAAAAACAACCACCCTTCAAGACGTGACGAACTTGAAACAACATCCCCCGAAGTTGGCCGATATTGCAACGACAAACGACTCTCTCAAAACCCAACCTCAACGCCAATCCTACCAACCGCCCAACCGCCCCTTAAAACCCTGAAACCCTCCACCCTTACACCATCCCTTACCCAGCAGTCCCGCCACCACCGCCAGGCCGCCCGCTACCAGCCCCGGGTCGCTGTGGAGGGGCGGCGGCGGCTGGTAGTGCCGTACGCGGGCAGCCAGCAGCCGAGCGACGCCAACATTCACAAACTGGCGGAGGTTCGGGCGACATGTCCGGGTGTTAGGGAGCACCGGAAGGGGGGGAGAGGGAGGTGCGTGTGTATGTGAAGGGGGGGAAAGAGCGGAAGGGGAGGGGCTCGCTGCACATGTGCAATCAACAACCACCACAGTTGCTTTAGAATCCATCTCCCTCCTCCCTCCAACTCCTCCCTTTCCCCCCCACAAACACAAATAAACACACCCGAACCGCAACTCACTTGGTCAAGGTGCTTGGCTGCCTCGCGTACGTCCCACCGAATCCAGCCCGGCGGTGCCGCCATCAGTATGCCGTACGCCGCCAGTCCCCCCAAACCCGCCAGCACCAGTACCCTGAACCTGTCCCCCCCCGGCATCAGGCGGCGGAGGGAGCCCCCGCACTCGACCATGATGAGCTGCGAGAGGGCCCACATCACCACCATAGGGCCCAAGGTGAAGAGCAGGATTTCCTGGAAGGGGTGGGGAGGGTGCGAGTGAAGGGGGGAAGTGAGGGCCGGGAAGTGAGAGGGGTAAATTGGTGGATTTGGGTTTGGACTGGGCGAGTGAGAAGGGGGAAGGAACGAGGAAGGGGCCGAAAACCCGACAGCCATATTCATAGTCAGTTGCGAAATGAAATGGATGAAAAAACACAGTGTCCCTCTTCTACCGTTCCCCATGTTTCCCACGCCCCCTCCCCCGCCGTACCCCAGTTTTCCCGCTCTTTCACTTTACCCACCTGCCACAGCCCGATGAGGGGGCCCAGTGTGAAGTGTACGATAAGGCCCACGAGCAGCACCATCAGCAGGACCCCCTGGAGGAATCAACAACCGGCAGTTGACAGTTGGCAGTTGGCGCCACCTGGAATCGGGGGGTTCGTTTTCACAGGGCAGCGGGTACTACCACACACACATACATGCATACAAATAAGGAAATAGGCGGCTGTTTTGTAAGAAGGCGTGATAACTGATGATTCACGTCTCAGCACCAACCTCCTCCCACACCTAAGATAACTCCACAACGAGAAGGACGAGAACAACGCAACAAGCCCCAGCACCCTTCGCAGCAGCAGCAGCATAGGATGGCGTCATGACCAGGACGTTCACGAGGTGGTCGGAGAGGAGGGGGAGGGGCAGGGAGTCAGGGGGAAAGTTGCCCCACTGACTCCACCCGCTACTGCGCCACCAAGAGGACCCACCGGGGTTTCCTCTGGGGTTGCTTCCCCGGTTGCCAGCCAGCACCCACAAAAGTGGGTTTTAAAAAGACCTATAGGGCCCCAGCAACCCCCCATTTGTGAGCTTCGGTAATCTTGCGATTAATGCGAACACATGCACGCACGCTAAAAGCGTCCTTTCAGAAAATGTTCGGAAGGATATATCATGCAGCCGTACGATGGTACGGCATATAAGAACGTGATGGATGAATTTGAATTTGTGGCTAAGCGTGTGGATCCCCTGGCGCAATGGGAATTTGCACTGCCACAATTCCGTGGAGGAAGAGGTGGGAAGTAACCCGTCTGTGTATGAGGCGAGAGCGCAGCGGAATGTGGATGGAAGCTTTCAAGCTGTGATCGTTTGGTCACAGACGTGTTTGATGTTCCCTGACTCGGGCCATGTAGGGGGGGAAAGACTCACCAGCGTTTCGAAACTGCTTCCGAATGTGGATGGCTCCGAGCTGAGGTGGCTTAATGCGCTGGGGCTCAGCTGCTGCATGACCAGAGAACTTTGGGCGTCTTGAAGCTGCAACTGGCGCTTCTGCAGGAGCTTCCGGTCGCGCTTAGTCGTCTTTGGTCCAATGGGCGGGTTCGGAATTGCTGACGACTGCGGTAGGAATGTGAACAAACCCTCCAGGAACAGCGCCCCTGCCGGCTGCCTGTGATTATGGAAGCGATGCATGCGTGTTCTTTTTGTTGGAACATACAAGCCGCCGACCGTGCCATGCTGCTGACTGGCAGGTCAACCCTTATCAATTGAACCAGCATAAATTATTATTATATTTGATTTCATAACCCTACCTGATGAAGTGGCGGAATAGAATCGCACATATCATCGGCACGGCCATATAAACAAAGAGCCCCATGGTGCCTTATTATTTTTACAAAAATTCATCAATCAGGTATGTGCTCGATGTGGTGCAAACGAGTCACATTGTAGACATTGGCACAAAGACAGAGGGAGAGGCACTAAAGACTGACTGGACAAAAGTACAGCGTGCCGTACGATATACCGGAAGGAAAATCGACCAACCGAAGATTGATTATGGCACACAGGACTCCTTGTCAAAGTTGCAATTGGAATGGATCAAGACGTTGCAAAGCGTGCGGCTGCCGCTGAGGCGCGCCGGCAAAAGATCTTAGCCCGAGGGTCGGAGCGGCTCAACCGCATCACTGTCGGAACTCCGTTGCCCTCGGCTGAAACTCTGAACCCAACCCCTACATCGGAACGAGCTGCGTCGGAGGCGACAAGCTTGGGACTCGCGGGCGCCTCGGCCGCTGTGAAGCCTTCCCAGTTACGTCCAAATGATCGCGACAGTGAGGTATCTGATCCAGTTACGGATACGACTACAACGGCAGCAGTGGAAGCAACTGTATCTGAGGCGCCGTTAAAATCAGCCCATGCGGATGCTTTGTTAGCATCGGCGGACCCGATGCTGCAACAGTTGCTACGCGGCAGCGGCGGTCAGAGCCACCCAGACGAGGATGCCTTCCAAGCTTCAGCACAACGGGAAGCAGAGCAGGCTCTCCACATGCTCTTAAACCAACTGGCAGGTCCAGCCGGAGTGCCGTACCTCGCCGCACAGCGCTCCCCTCCCCAATCGGTCCAAGTGGACGGAAGCGCGACGACCGCTGTCGGCTCCTCCGGTCGTACCGTGACAGGTACGGCATTTTCAGCGGTGCGAAGCCTCTCTACCTTCCTATCAGCCATGTGCGAATGAACCTCCAAACGTACATGTGCTGGGGGATAGCCCACCTCAACCCTTCCCTCCAACGCAGCTAATAAATCCCACCGGTATGCTGCCCTGTGTCATACAATCCCTACCACCACATTTGCGGTTATTGCCAACCAACTAACCACCCCCGCGCGCGGACGCCAGGTCTTCGTGGCGGCGTCGGCGTCGGCGGTGATGATGGGCCCTTCGCGCCGTCGCCGTCGGTGGCGGCAGCAGCAGCAGCAGCCCGGGCCCCCCCGCATGCCTCCGGCAGTGGCAGGCGTACCGCCACCACCGCTTCCGCCGCTGGCAGCAGCGGAGGCGGAGGCATGTTGTTGTCGGTAGCCGCCGTCGCCGCCACCGTGACGGGTGTACTGCTGGGGCCTCAGCTGACGGCGGCGGTGGCGGCCACGCACCGGCTCCGCTGCCTGGCGGCGGTAGCGCTGGCGGCGGCATTGTACAGCGGTCTGGTAGAGCCGGCGCACCTGGGCTTGCCGCCAATTGTCTCTCTGCTCGTACTTCAGGTGGATTACTGCTGCAGGTGGTTCGGGCGGGTGGTTGGGCCGGATACGGGGCCTTTGTGGGGCCGACCTTTTGGATTTTAAGAGCTTCAGGGTTTTGGCACAGTCAGTGGATAACCCGTTGCTCCATTCATCGCGTCACAGGATCCCCCCCCCTCTCCCTCTCCCCCGTCTGGTTCACTCGTTCGTGGTTCGTCTTTCCCCTTGCTCCCCCCTTTGCTCCCCCCTTGCTCCCCCGCACCCGGCATCACCAATGCCGTCCCACTCCCAGCTTGCTCTCATAGCTGCGACCCGGTGGCTGCTTCCCCGGTCCGGGGGGGGCCGGGGAGGGGCATCACCCTCGGCGACGGCGGCATGGCGGTCTGCGGCCGGCGGCCTCAGCCAGGTGGGGGGGTGGAGAGGGCGATGGAGGGGGTGGGGGGGGTGGGAGGGGAATATGCATGAAGCAAATGACAAGGATGAGGGGGTGGAAGTCGGGATCTGGGCGGCAGGGTTTTGGGTACAATCCTTGCCGAAATATTTCTCCCAGGCGCTATGTTCCGAAATAAGCTATGTTCCAAAGTCAGCGGAGGGGTCGGTCTGGAGGTACCCGGGGTTCTCTTTGAATGCTGTAGGTGGTTGGTGGGGTGGTTAATCAGTTCGTTAACCGGTTGACTGGATGATTCAGGAGGAAGGGTTTTTTTTTGACGGGGACGGGGGTCCACGAGGAAGCGCTTTTGTTGTTGCAAGCACGGGGTGCTCAGGGCGCATGGAGATCTACACCTGCACCCCGTACGGCACCGCAAAACACACATATACACACACGGCCACTGCCGCCGCATCCGAACCCACACACGCTTGGGCGTTCTCAGGGTAATTGTCGGTCCCCCATCCCCCGCATCATTTATATCGCCCGCGTCTCGCACCTCCGCGATGAATTGGCGGTGATGATGATGACGACGATGACGATGGCTGTTGTGATGGATTTGCCCGCCGACAGACGGCTTCCGGTGCTGAGCTAGCCGGCGATGACGGCGACGCCACGGCGGCGTCGCCACCGGCGGCGGCGGCGGCGGTGCTGCCAGTCCCCAGAGCTGATTGGGCCGCGCTTGTCCCGGGACTGCGGCCTCTGCTCGATAAGGTGTCGTCCGCAGGGGTGCTGGTTTCGGGGCTGGCTGGTGACGTGGCAGTGTTCGTGGTGTCGTACATGGTGCTGGATGCATGGGGCCGGGTGGTGTCCTAGGCGGCCTAGCGGTGGTGGGTCGGTTGGGTCAATGCACATGTAGATAGGCGGGGAGGGGTCGCTCCGGTTCGTTTTGGTTTTTTAACACTCTGTTAGGTCCTGACATCTGTCTGTTTGTCTGTCTGTCTGTCCATGCGGGATCCGCCAGATGGAGATGGGTTTTCGCGTCTCGCTCAGCAAACTCAGTCTATAAGAATATGAAGCAGTGGATATCGCCTGACTGCCAGTGTGCGTGGCCACTGACCGAATATTTGTGAATCCTGGAATATTCTGGAATCATTCATTTCGATGATGTGCGAAGGAAGGGTGGGGGATGGGCAAGAATTTGGGGGCTGTGATGGAGTGTGTGTGTGGAGCTGTTACAGGTAGTTATGGGCATTTCGTTGGTTGGTTGGTTGGTTGGTTGGTGGTTGTTAGGGCGGGGCGATACCCTCCTGGTGTGGTGTGAGCGTTTAGTGGACCGGGGGCGGACACGGGGGGTGTGCGGGTTGGGGAGGAGAGCCCCCTCTGCTGTCGTACGTGTAAGCGACGAGGTATAGAAGCAGTCTGAACCTCCGCGGTGTGTGTTTGCTTGTGTCCTCCGCTGATCGGCGGCGCCACCGGGGCCTAGGATGCCTAGGGGTGGTGGATGGCCCTTGCTTCACAACAAGCAGTGTTGCTGCTACCGGTCAGCATGGTAGTGGCGACACTGTGGGTGGTGTGGCTGACGGGGGGGCCTGTCCGGGGGCCAGGTGTGGTGCGGGGCCGCTGGCCCCACTGGGCACCTCACTTCTTCGGGCCTTGTTTCCCCCCATGTGGTCTATGACCGCATACTTACCGCCAAACCAGACAGTTTTTATCTTCGCTCGTTCTCCGGCTCGTCATCTGTTCTCTTCTCCTGCCCTCCCTAGCGGAGGTAGGCCATTAGTTCAGCAGTCCATGAGCAGTCCATATCAACCTACATTCCCTGCCCCGCCGCTCCAAACCCTCAGCGCCATCACAACCACCACCGCTACGGTATATGTTTGTATGTGTGCGTGTATGTCTCGAGAAGTGAAAATCGAAAACGGCAAAAAAAAACAGAGTTGTGTAAGATTGTTGTGTTCGCGCCGCATTGCACGTCAGAGGAACGGGGGAAGGGAGGTCCGTATGGCCGGGGGGGGGGGAAAGAGTGTGCGGCAGCTGGCGTGTTGTGTGCGAGCGCAGGTAGATAGAGGTAGGCCGTATCACCATCATATGTGCTGCTGGGCTTTGGAGGCAAACAGAGCACGAAGGGGCAAGCACCATGTCCCCAGGGAGCAGCAGATTTGCCACTGTTGTGGTACTAATAGCCGAATCGAGGATGAAAAACACGTGTTATTGGAATGCCCAGCCTATAACGATATTCGTGTTGGAGGCCATGAAATGGGAGCAGCACATTTGGCGAGAATGTTGGAACGTATGGGGGCTCACCGCAACTCGGTTATCCCCCTTGGACGCTAATCTGGGCTGATGTGCGGTGTTTCCTGTTCTCCGTGGCTTTTAGGCGTATAGGTATTGGCCTTGGGCCTTCGGCTCGTATGGGTAGTTTTACAGGTATGGGGTCACGCACCCCCAACCATGTAACACACACATACACACAATATGTGCTGCAGGTAAGTATAGTGAGCTAGATAGGGAGCACATGTAGTCATTGGGCCTGTTTCTCTGAGGGCGGCTGTTGTTGTAGCGGCGACGGCGCTACTGCTACTGCACTGATTACCCGGCAGTAGCGCAGGAAAGGATGATAGCAGATATACATGCCGGGGAGTGCGGCTACGGGTTTTTTTGGGGTATCCGCCATCTGGTGTCCGCCCCTTGATACAGACGAACACACAATGTTCTCTCTTTTCTTCCCGCGCCTTTCCCCCGTGCTCTGCTTCTCCCCCGCACAGGGGTTGAATGGTGGTGGTGATGGTAATGTGTGGGCGGGGTCACGCATGGAAGCTAGCTTGTTTACGAGGGCAATGGGTCTCGGAGCAAGGAATCGGAACCCACCTCAAAAACTGATTGATTGGACGTGATTGGCCTTCTTCCTCCCTGTCTCTCTTTCCCCCCCCCCATACACACATACACACACACCGATACGCCGTCTGCCAAATCTCCCCCGACACCAGCAAAGAAGCAGCAGCAGCACCACCCCCGCCGCCACCAGGATTTCGCGTCCCGCTTCCCCCTCAGGAAGGTGAAGAGGGGTGTGTTTGCTCACCACACCTCACTCACATTTGATGGCTTCATGCACATGGCACACATGCCTGAACGGATATGCACAAAAGGTGGTGGCGGTTATAGGAGCTCTTGGCTAGGTTTAGATGAGAAGACCTTCCTCCCCAAAGGCTGACCCACCCCTAGCAATGGCTAACAGCCCACCAAGGGGTGCGGTCAAAGGAGGAGGTGTGTATGTATGTATGTATGTATGTATGTATGTACGTATGTATGTGTCGGGGGTCTGTGTGTGTGCGGGGGGAACGGCGGGAGAATGGCTCAACATTTTTCAACACTTCGAGCACTGTTCCCACTTCCCCTTTCCCCAGCGACACGTCACCACCTCCCCACATGCCGTACTCCCCCAAACCCTAGACTTCCCCAATGTCCCCGGATGCGCCCGCCTTCCCCTTCCCCCCAGCCTTCCCCACAATACACACCAACAATACGCCAACCTTCCCTTCCCCCTTTCAGCGTCTCAGAGTTTTCGGGAAGGACATTGCGGCTTAGGATTCCGCCTGGCGAAGCGTTGAGGTGGGACCTGGCGGACACCCCCAGAACGCACACACACACACACGGACACAACACCGTAAATCTTCTCCCCTGCCCACGCTCTCCTCCTCCTGATGCTCCTCTTCCCCCCTCTCCGCCCTCCTCCTGCGCACACCACCACCATGTCCCCCAAACCCCCATCCTTCCCCCCCCAACCAGCAACAACAGACCCTAAGACACCACACACACACAGACCCTCTTCTCCCGCCCCCATCCTCCATCCGACTGGTCAGTTCTGCTACCGTCCTGTACATCGGCCGCAGCACTCTTTCCCCACTTGGCAGCAGCTTCACTCGCTCACGTGCTTCGTCTTTTCCCCCACCCCCACCCCTCTTCCAACCAAGAACTATACACACAACACATACACCCCCCCGCACCCCCAGCAGCTACCCCATGACCCCCAGCTCCCTAAGCTCCGCTCTCAGTTGTTGCTCCCTCTGCGCCAGCCGTTGGCTCTCATCCAGCAACCGGTTGATGTCGGCTGCGACAGGGGGGAGGGGAGGGGAGGAAAGGGGGGGGGGAGGCGGATCACGGGTAGAGGGAGCGGTATCCATGGGTCTGGGAGGGGTCTGGGGAGGGGAGAGATCACCGAGGGAATGTGAACGGTGGTAGCGGGGGAAAGAGGTCGGGTATAGAGCCGGAGGGGCGGGAAGAGAGGGGAGGGGAGAGAGAATTGCAAACCACATGCAACTGTCAATCGCGGTGCGGTGCGGTGGATGGATCAGGGATGCTTTCGCAAAGAAAGCAACGTCCGCCAACTGAAAACATGTGACAGACTCGTTCGCGCCTGCCGTACAACGCCCTCGCTTCTTCAAAGGGAAGAGGTGACCCTCCTCCTCCTCCTCCCCCCACTCACCCGCATCCCCCCACTCACCCGCATCCCCCCACTCACCCGCATCCCCCCACTCACCCGCATCCCCCCACTCACCCGCATCCCCCGGATCCTCCACCAGCGCCACCAGCTCCCGACCCAGGGCAATCTCCCGGTCGTCGATGGCGGATAGCGTGGTGGACAAGTCCTGTATATGTAGGGGGGGAGAGTTGGGGGAGAGTGG